ACCAGCACATGTCGAGTGGAGCCTTGAAGTAAATATATTGCCGAGCCAAAGTTACAAACAGAAAAAAAGGAAATCTAACCTAAAGGACATTCGAGGAGAATGTACAATCTCAGAATTTTAAGCAGTTGAAAAGACTGACAGTGGGTGTGTATGTGTGTGTTTGTGTGTGTGTGTGTGTGTGTGTGTGTGTGTCCGCATGTGTAGCACACATAAATAACGATGCCAAATTGTTCAGATGAAATCTTAAAATACTCCACATGCCTACGAAATTATAGCTAAGTGATCAAAATCAATAGCAGCAGATCAGCATAAACTAGGCATACATATGTATATAATAATGATAGTATATTTATGTTTATATAAAATAAGTTAAATATAACATATATAGGTCGAATATTTATTATTATTATGATATTCCATCATTTGTCTTCACTGTCATTGATTTTCAATATAATTTAAAAGTTATAAAATTATAGATTTCCCTAAATAACGGATGCATTGCCATTTAAATTTCGTTCGGCAGCATTAATTTCATTTTTATGGGTATTTGTTATATCTTTTTCTCTTCGTTTATGGCGGGTCGTATAATTTCAGCAATGCAGCAACGTTTTTCCAATGAATTTGATTGTTTGTTTTGGAACTTTGTGTTTGCAAGTATTTAGAAATGGCATAAATTATTTGAAAAGTTACTCTTACCAAATTGTTTCCACTTTTCCAAGGAGCCGAGGGAATTGAATATAATTGAAAAGTTATCTATTGCTGTTGTTGTTGTTGTTGTTGTTGTTGCTGCAAAACCCAGACACCACGAGTCTGAGGCGAGTGTGAAACATTTTCATTTCGATGTCGAGCAGAAGGGGCGAAATAATTGACTACTTAAAGAGCGAGTCTCCAACGTTAAATTGCCTATTCCAAGGCATAATCAGCCGTTCGTGTGTAGAAACTTTGCTTGATTCTGTCAACTTTTATGGGTTTGCTTAACTTTTAATCGACTTATATACCCATTCCGGCTGTTAGTCCCATGCAAACAGCAAAGATTTCTTTGTGCAGCCTCGAAGTATGCAGCAGAAAATGCTGACACGCATTTAAATCTGTACATTGATTTCCTTTCGGCATTCGTAACTCATTCTGGACATCGTGCATTTATTACACTCTATTCATATCGTGCAAATGATAACAAATTAGCTTCACTGTTCGGCATAGAATACGCTTGATTTGCCAGCTCGCCCAACTGATATGCTTATTTATTACTTGAGTTTAGTCAAGTCCTGGCAATCGGGGAGCTCGTGTGTCTGTGCATCTTGCCATAATCAGACAGACAAACAGCATGGCAATTGCCATGTGGATGTCCTCGCATCCATCTCCATCTCCATCTCCATCTCCTTCTTGCTCCTGCCACCTCTGTTGAAGCGTATGAAATGCCAATGCTCATTGCCATCGATTGCCAGCAAGTGACGCGCTGTTTGTCAGCATAAAATAAATCTTTGCATTGTGCACTTCGCAAGCAAAACTCACAAAATGGGGCTGCAGCATCAAATAAAATGCGAATATAACAAAGCGACGGGGGTAGCTCGAATAGCGCTGACAGCGGGATACCCTATGCCTATATTAGATATAAATTTATGCTTAGCTCAGTATGCAAATCTTCATAGAGTCAGTCATTTATGCCTAAAGAGCTTCAACATAAGTTATATCATAGTGTTCCTTTGATAATCATATTATGATAAATTGAGTTCACGAAAAATCCACAAAATATTTAATGCTCTAATCTAGGTCAACAGATGCTCTTTTTATATGAATACAAAATCTATATAAAATCAAGATCTATACAAAAATCATTTCCCTTTTAATTACACCAAAATAAATACATTTATAATCACTATCAACACCTGCTGTAAGAAGGTAAGACATCTATCATGCAACAGCTAACTATGTTTATTTTAAATATAACTCTCCTTAATAGGCCTTTGCTCAACAATTTGTAACTCTAATTATGAAGTTTGTACGTTTCACGCCTGATGTAGGAAACTTTTCAAAGTTTTCGCCAATTCTTAATGAACTTATGCGATTGCAACTTAATATAGTTTAATTTTTGTTTAATCAAGTTTCTTATGTAATCTATAGCATTATTTATTGAGGTAGATCCCTTAAGCATCGCTATGTAAGCACATATTGCAAGTTAAGTATACCCATCCAAGTACTTAATGCAGGGCTTGATAAGAATACCAAGTGGATGATGGCCCAGGGCAGGCAAGAGGCTGCTGAGACAACAGTCATCCCGTATCCAATCAGTGCGTAAAATATGCAAAACTTTCCTTAAATGTATGAGTGCTGTGTGTGTGTGGGATGTGGGTGTGTGTGTGCTTATGCACTTACTCGTATGTAAATCTATATGTTCATAGAGATATGTGCGAGCAATAAAGTTGATATGCATAATTTTGGGTAAGCCCCACTTAAATGTGCACACAGCTGACACACACACACACACACTCAGAAGCACTCACGATATATAAATATGGCAAAAACTAAATTAAAATGTGTGTAAATTACGGTTTTACTTGCAGTTGACCATGTACCCCAGATTCAGCCACAGGCTGTGCTCTGTGCACCTTCTGATGGCCAGCCATGATGTAGATTCTCTTTTTACGAGCATATAAAAAACATATTTTGTGCAAGTTATGCAATAAAGTTTTATGCTCACTCACACTGTTGAATAAATTGCGAACACGCTGCCGAGAACTTTGAGTAGAGCGTTAAATAGGCAACAAGATGTAATTTAATAGGGTCTCTGAGAGTATACGACTTCTTTGGCGCACAGTTGACCTATGCCAAATCCTTCTCGTTAACACCTCCAGTTGGCTTCGTGGAGTGCCTGTGATGCCGTTGCGGGACCAGTTGAGCTCCAGTCGAATATGACAGCAGGTTCATTTGCATGACAGTTCGCCAATCCCTTGACTAAATTTGCATATCTGCAGCGAATGTGAATGCGGATGCCAAACCAAAAACAACAAAATTGAAGAAGAAGAAGAAGAAGACGAATAGTCAGTCAGGGAACTCACAGCTGCATATCGCCGAAACTTGCAATTTTCCCACGAACATTTTCTCATGAGTTCTGGCCCCGGGGTCTGATGGAAATATGACTCAGCTAGACACAACAATTTCTTTGCCCGGCAACTTATAAGCCCGTCGCAAAGTTTACTTACTGTTCATGTACTGTGCCACGCCCACGTGCCCACAGTTGTGTGCATTGTTGTATTACATATTTGATGGGCAGAGGTCATGGTGGTTCGCTGGCTCAATTGTTTTCTTAGTCTCCCTCTCCCCTACTC